AAACAAAAAAAAACAGTTTTGTGGACTAGTGGCGGTGGAGCATGCCTTTAATCTCAGCACTCGAGAGGTACAGGCAGGCAGATCTCTGTGAGTTCAAGGCCAGCCTGTTCTACAGAGGTAGTTCTAAGACAGCCAAGGCTCCAGAGGGAAGCCCTGTCTTGAAAAACCAAAAAAAAAAAAAAAAAAAAAAAAAAAAAAGTTTTGTTTTCTTTGCTCTTATATACCTTTATTATTGTTCTACTGAACAGAAGTCTTACTTGTAAATACATTTCATTTTTTGTTTGCTTTGTTTTTGGGATAGGGACTCATGTATCACAGGATAGCCTAGAAATCACTCTGGAGTTGCAGATAGCCTTTGACTGATCATTCTGCCTCTACCTTCATATTGTGAGTTCCGGGTTACAGATATATATTAGGGCTTGAACCCAGATCTTAGTGCAATCTAGAGGTGGTTTGAATGTGAAATGTCCCTCATAGGCTTGTGTGTCTGAATACTTGGCACTCAGCTAGTGGTAATGTTTGAAGAGGTTGTGAACTTTTAGGAAGTGAAGTCTTGCTGGAGGAAGTGGGTCACTGGGCATGGGCCTTCAGACTTTATACCATGGCTCCACTTCCTGTTCTCGCTCTGCTTCTTGAGTGTGGATGAAGTGTGACCACTCATCCTCTTTCCTACCTCCATGCCTTTCCTTCTTGCTGCTATGTCAGACTATATCTCTCTGAGACTAGAAGCTATCTCTTTCTTCTTTAAGTTGCTTTTAATTAAATGTTCTACCATAAATATGAGAAAGTAACTAAGATAGTGGCAAGCATTCTACAGTTACATTCACATCTCTATAATTTTATTACTAACATGGTTATCTTATTAACATCTTCCTTACAACACTGAAAGCTCTATGAGTTTAGAGGGCATACTTGTTTTTGCTCAGCCTCATATTTTTTGGATTTAGCATAGTACCTGGCACATTGCAGATGCTCAGTGTAAAAATTAAGTTTCATTAAGGTTTCAAGCATTTAAAGACTCAACATTCCTGCTCTACAAATTCATCTTATACACATCTTCCCTTTTGCTCTCATATTTATCCTCTAATTAACTTGCTGGCTATCTCTTCCATCTCCTGTCCTCTATAACCATTTAGAAAAAGCTTCTCATCTTTGTTCCTCAATTTATTCACTTCTTATTTATCCTTTTAATGATTAGCTCTTATACTTCACTCCACTGAAACTGTTCCCTCTAAGACCATCCTTTAATGTACTGATCATCAAGTATTGTACAAAGTCCATTTTCCAGTCCTCAGTCCCTTACATGACTTCCAGGCACCATTGATACTTGTTTATCTCGTCCTCATCATCTTCCTCCTCTTGTGCTGAGGACAGAACCCAGGGGCTCAAATATATTTTCTTGATAACAATGCCCTTTCCCTTAACATTCACCTGTCATATTCTTCTGAGTTCTCCTCCTTTTTAGTTTTGCCTGCTTCTATCCACAGTTCTTTTTGTTTGTTTGTTTGCTTGCTTGTTTGCTTGTTTTTGGAGACAGGGTTTCTCAGTGTAGCCTTGGCTGTCCTGGAACTTGCTCTATAGAGTAGACTAGCCTTGAACTCACAAACATCTGCCTTCTTCTGCCTCCTTAGTGCTGGGATTAAAGACATGCACCAGTCACAGTTCATTTTTTATGTTTACGCATTGATCATCAACTCTTTTCTCTGAACACTTTGTATCCCCCTTTATGAGAAGTCATTTACTCCATGGTTTTAGTGCTATGACTTCCAAATACCGACTTTTAGCTCAGCTCTTACTTCAGTAACCATCTGACTACTGGATATAGTGCTTATCTGGACACAAGTGTAGGCAACATAACACATCTGAACGCATTATCATCCACTGGTACAATGCTGAGTACCTTTACTGGGTCTCTTCCCCTGCCCTAGTGCTCCTCTGACAAGTCTGCCTGCTGATTCTCTCTCTTTAAAATCTCTTGTCCATTCTCTCCAGACCACAGCAATCAATGTAGTCAATCCTCACTTGATTACTGCAATGGTGCCTGAAAAGTGCTGTCACCAACATCTAATAAGGCATCTGTCAATGCATTTTCCACACAGCAGCTAGAAGGACATTTTTAAAACATAAATCTGGTCATTTCTGTCTTTTTTTTAAAATTTTATGTGCACTAGTGTTTTTCCTCCATGTCTGTGTGAGGGTGTCAGATCCCCTGGAACTGGAGTTACAGACAGGTGTGAGCAGCCATGCGGGTGCTGGGAGTTGAACCTTAGTCCTCTGGAAAGGCAGTCAGTACTCCTACCCACTGAGCCATCTCTCCAGCCCCCATTTCTGTCTTTTATTCAAAACCTCTCAGTGCTTACCGGAGTCCTCAGTTTAAAACCCAGACTGCTTCCCATGGCTTCCACTTAACCTCGCCAGTCTCCTGATCCCTCATCCCAGAGCCTGCCCCAGCCCTTCTCTCACCCTGACCTCTGATCAGGAACCACATTTAAGTCTTGGATATCTGTGCTTTCTCCTCACCTATGGATTTCTGTATCCTTCCCAAGCCTGCTTACTTCTTTTAATCCCCCAGGCCTCATTTTAATCCTTATTTCCTGAGTTCTCTTGCATAGTTCCTGGTGCAAAATAGGCACCCAATACCTCATCTTCCCTCCCTAACTTCTTTCTTCTTTCAGGTTAATGTTGCCTTTTGTATGTTATTTTTTTTTATAATTTTTTCAAAACAGAGTCTCACTATGTAGCCCTGGCTGGCCTAAACTTGGTAGGTAGATCAGGCTGCCCTTGAACTCACAGAGATCCACCTGCATCTGACTCTCAAGGACCAAGATTAAAAGCATGTGTCACCAGGCCTGGTGTTACATTTGTATTTTGGAACTGAATATTTTACTTTAACAGACTTCTAAAATAACTGTAATCTAAATGTAACATGGGTAACTGTAATTCTCTTGGCATCTCTGAACAATCAGCAGCTAAAATATATTTCAAATTTACTTCCTACAAAATTCAGTTAACAGTCCCCAGCCCTTTGGAATACACCGTCAAAATCTATGAGTAAATATAATTTTGACTAAGACATTTAGTCCAGCCAATCAGTCTGTGTGTGTGTGTGTGTGTGTGTGTGTGTGTGTGTGTGTGTGTGTGTGTGTGTCTGTCTGTCTGTCTGTCTGTTTGTCTGTCTGTCCATCCATCTGTCTTGTCTGTCTTTCTGGTTTGTATTTTTAAATAAATGGTATTCCAACAGTGTCTAGCCTGGGTTTCAAACAAGTGGAATTAATCCTCCTGCCTCAACCTCCTAAGCGTTGAGATAATAGGCATATGCTACTATGCTCAACTCAAATAATTAGTCTTGAAGGCTTTAGCAACTTTGCATTCAGGATAAAGATTTCCGAGGTCTTTTTTTTTTTTTTTTTTTTTTTTGAGGGAGTGTACTTACAATCCTACAATCTGGGCATCATGTTATACACCTTTAATACCAGAACTCAGAAGGAAGAGGCAGGAGAACCTCTGTGAGCTTGAGGCCAGCCTGGTTTATATAGTGGCCAGCCAAGCTTACACAGTGAGACCCTATTTTGTTTTGTTTAAGTGTTACAGTGGGGATAGTACCTAGAAGAACTCCAAATCAATTATTTATTAGGCTCATATAATTATATCTTTAGTAATAAGCCCATTAAATTAATGGAAACTTGTTTTATTTGCTCAGTTCAACATCTAGAACGAGCTTGCCTTGTCCTCTCACAACTATATTTACACATAGTGAAAATTTCAAGGTTTGCTCAGGTTTTTACTACTTTCAATTTATTTCTTCTCCACTGCTACTATCCTGGTTCAGCCGGTCACGTTTGTTGTCCATGAGATTACTTCAGGTTCTGTGTGCTCTCTCCTTCTTACCCATCTTACTTCTCAGAACCCTGAACGAAGTATTCTTCCCTGCCAGGACCCCCACTTTAAAGTAAATCTAAACATAACAACTGACAACTCTTGGCTCCTTGTGGGCACTCTAACTTCTACTCTGATTCCATACACTCCTCTCTAGCTCCACTGGCCTACATGCCATTCTTTACACTCACAAGGCCTGAGGGGGTCTCAGGATGTTTGAACTAGCTATTCCTTGCCTGAAACATTATTCCCCAGGACATGTCCATTAGTTATCCTTTGTCTCGTTCATTTCCCATTGGGATCTACACACACTAGTAAAACATCACAACTCATCTTTTCCCTTTTTCTTTCTTCTTTTTCTACATCTACTTAATTGTATTCTAACGTAATTTATTATGTTAATTATTTATAGTCTGTTTTCTTCTGCAGTAATATAAGGTCCATAACACTAGTCTATCTGTCTAATAAACACATTTATATTTCTGTCATGGTTAGGTAAATATATTCTGGAGGCATAAGTACTGATATTAGTAAACTGGTTCAAAATCTTTTAGAGAAAATACACTCTCCCAACTTAATTTTCATTTGTCTGGATACAGCTTTCAACTTTAAGTTAATTTATAAGATTTGTTTAATCAGACACATGACACAGACCAATATATCTACAGACATCTGGTAAATGTGAGGTGGCTTCTGGACAGATCAGGACTCAAACTGCCTACGTACCTTAGAAAAAGGGAAAGGCCTGCTTGGCATGTTTTTCCTGCTCTGTCCTAAATAATCTTAAAACAGATGGCAAAAGCTAAAATACCAAGTCTGCTGCCATGGAAACCACTATTATAGCAGCCCATTCCAGAGCCCCACCTAGAAGATAAATGTTTGCCTCTCTTTTATTACAATCTGAGCCACTGACCTTTCGCTTTAAGTCCTACTAAAAGGTTTAGAACAACTATCAATATCCTAGATGACACAAAAGTCTAGGAGAGACTAGTTTGTACACAAAGACTCTAAAACACACTCAGAAACCAGCAACAACAGACACAGGAATTTAACATAATTTTCTGTGTTTATGTTATTCTACATGCAAATTATACTGTTGCCATATGTAAGTTCATGGATCTTACTTTAATATTGCAAGCCTGCTCCATCAATCTTCTTGCATTCTCCTCTGCCCGGTATCTCTTTGGAAGCTGAACTCTGAAAAACTTCAAAGCACCTTCAAAATCAGCCTGCAGGAGGTCTTCCTTTGAGGTCTGAAAAACAATCACCAAGACACATCACCACACTTCAGCCTGTGCACATTATATGAATAAATGTATTACAAAAAAGAATGTTGATTTTCATGAATATACTTTTAGAAGATGCTTTCAGTATTTCTACTATTCAGAACATATTGTTATGTTACCTGCTGAAATTATCAATCCTAAAGCAATGTAAGAGACAATTATTAACATATTAACTTTTAATTCATATTATATGAAAATTATAATAGTGGATCCCAGCAAAGTTTATCAAGCTTGAAGAAAAAGCAAACAAATACACAAAAAACAAAGCAAAAAAAAAAAAAGGAAAAAGAAAAAGAAAAAAGAAGATGAGTGAACTCTAGATTAATCTGTAACTTTACCTTGATAAGGATTTTAGAGATTATTAGAAATCATTGACAACACAAATAAAGCAATCAAAGCTCATCAGAGTTACATAATAAACACCTAATGGGAAGATCACTTTTCAACTAATGACAACAGCAACTCAAGTGAAGAAAACAAGAAATTGATCCGACATCTAAAGAATGCCATGGACAAGTAATCAGAGCAAATCACTTAACTACTGACTTCTTACTAAAAACTTTTTTTGCAAAACTCACTGTTTTAAAAGTCACCATGTGGAAATCAGTAAGAATATCTGCACATACAAAAATGACGGGAAGGAAACAAAACAAAATGTTTGCCTAGATAAAAGGATCATGAGTCATTTTTTTCTCTAGATTTTGCAGTATTTTCTGTAATATTCTAGTAAAAAATTAAAAACAACTGTGGCCAAATCTCTGATACACACTAAGGATTTAGGTAGAAGGGTACATAGAAATAAGTAAAAATAAAAAGTAACTATTTCAGCGAGGAAAAATGGCACAGACTTGACATTCCAACACTCAGGAGGCTGAGACAGGTAGATCGCCACGAGTTTGAGGCCAGCTGGGGTTGTGGAGTGAGTTCCAGTACACTTATCTCAAAATACACAAACATACATGCAACGAAATGTTTTAAAGATATCACTTAATTGACATGTTTTCTCTCTCTCTCGTACGTGAATGTTAACTTTCAACCTTTAGAGATGTGTGTTTTAACTGAAACAGCCACAGAAGTTAGAAAACTCTACGGGTCCATGGAGGAGGAGGGGATCTTTTAATGGAAGGAGATAGAATACAGTAATATAAAGGGAGAAAGGAAAGTTATGGAACAGGAAGGGTCAAACAGGGAAGGGTGGGAGGGCAGGGTAAAGGAGGGATGGCTAGCACTAAAGGCCCTTTGAAAAAGCCATATGAAAACTTAGTACTGCAGAAGCATCCTAAAATGAATACTTTACAGATATTTAAAAAGTTTAAATGGAGTCACCCCAGGATGAGGGGACAATACCCCAATTAGGTACCACATGCTAGTGAACAAAACCCCCAGTACCAGGAATGGGTCATCACTTTTTGCGTTGTTGTCCAGTGTGGTCCCATAGACCCACAAACGTTACAGGGTATTGCTATTGCTCTTGGTTACCCTCCAGAACTTGAGAGTAAGATCCTAATGCTGAAGACATCACATAATTGAGTCGTAAATGCTGGAGAAATCAAGTGGGTTCTGACCTGGTAGCTTGGCTACCTGATTTTCTTTTTCTTTCTTTCTTTCTTTCTTTTTTTTTTTTTTTGGTTTTTTGAGACAGGGTTTCTCTGTGTAGTTTTGGTGCCTGTCCTGGATCTCGCTCTTCAGACCAAGCTGGCCTCGGATTCACAGAGATCCGCCTGGCTCTGCCTCCTGAGTGCTGGGATTAAAGGCATGCGCCACCACTGCCCGGCTACTACCTGATTTTCTAAACCCACTCAAGACCCGATATCAAGCCTGGTCATTGAGCTCACGTAAATGGACAAAGGGATCAAGAATGAAGAATACTTTTTCTTCACACACTAGACTAAATTTAGTCAGGTGGGAATGGAAATGTAGACCGAGGTGGTTCTTGGAGGAAGTCCCAGTTTCAAAGGCAGTGCTTTGTAGGTCTCCCCACGAGGGTTGTGCTGAAGCCCATCACAGGTTGAGTCTCTGCATAGCAGAAGTCAAATCACCTGGTGGCTGTCCACTTCAAGACACTGTGGGCAGGCTGGCAATTGTCCCTGTGGCTAAATCACTTGCTAGATGTACTGGTTAGTTTTATGTCAACTCGACACAAGATAGAGTTATTTGAAAGGAGAAAATCTCAACTGAAAAAATGTCTTCATAAGATATGGCATAGGGCATTTCTTAGTGATTGATGGAGGAGAGCCCAGCCCACTGTGGGTGGTGCCATCACTGGGCTGGTGATCAGAGTTTTGTAAGAAAGCAGGTTGAGCAAGTCATGATGAGAAAGCCAGTAAGTAGTACCCCTCCATGACCTCTGCCTCAGCTCCTGCTTCCAGGTCCCTGCTCTGTTGTGAGTTCCTGTCCTGACTTCCTTGGATGATGAACAACAATGTGGAAATGTAAGCCAAATAAACCCTGTCCTCCCCAACTTCCTTTTTAGTCATGATGTTTCATCACAGCAATCATAATCCTAACTAGGACACTGTGTAAGCCTGACAACCTGAGTTTAATCTTTAGCATCCATGTAAAGGTGGAATGAAAGAACACACTTCACAAAATTATTCTCTAATGTCAACCTGTGCCTGGGTATGTTCCCAACACACACACACACACACACACACACACACACACACACACACACACACACACGATGATGATGATGATGATGATGATGGTAATGGTAACAATAAGAAAACATTATTAGCATTGGCGTGTGTAACTCAGTTGAACCCAAGAAGTAAAAGAGCTATGACAACCACATAACAAGGATGCCCAAGATTGGAAATGTAGAATTGGCATCTCAATCTCTGGAAGGTACTTAGGTCATAAAGGGACTCAAATATGATTGCAAATGTTGAAATAAGTTCATTATAATTTCAACTCTGGCTAGCTTGTGATGTTGCACACATTTTGCCATCTTGAAAATGAAGTAAGCTAAGGTATAGGAATCCACTTTGTTAAGTCCAAAACAAACATAAGGGATAGATAATGATTTGGTAAGTTACCTTTTCTTTACTCAACTATTCCTAGATAATGATACTTTGTAGTTAAAAACAGTGCCTACATTCACTGATATTCTTAATTCCACAAAGAAAGATGTCTAGGGCTAGAGAAGGTTGTTTGGTGGTAAGAACACTGAGAGTGCAAGCATGAAGGCTTGAGGCTGAATCTTTGCACCCATGTGAAAATCAGGGTGTAATGGCTCAAACATCTGCAACTACAGTGCTATGAGGGGTAAATACAGAAGGACTGCTACAGCTTGCTGGCCCACCAGCCTAGCTCCAGGTTCAGTGAGCTGAAAAAAGGCAGAGAATGATAGAGGGAGACACCCAGGTGTTCTCCTCCAGTGTCTGTGCACATGCGTAAGAGAGCACATCTGCACACATGTGAGCATGCACCCCTCTCTCTCTCTCCCATTCATTCATTATAAAAAATAAAGCATTCTATAGTCTCTACTCTAATAATTCATATTTTTTTCTTGTGTATTTCAATATAACTAGTTTCACTGTGATGATAAAAAGATATGCCACTAAGCAAAGGACACTTAAAAACCTCTGTTGGGGGCCAAAGAGATGGATCAGTGGTTGAGTACTTGTTGCTATTGCAGAGGACTTAGGTTTTGTTCCTAGCACCAATATGGCAGCTCACAACCACCTGTAATTCAAGTTCCAGAGGATCCAATGGCTTCTGCTATCTCAGATCTGCCAGCACTGCATGCGCATGGCACACAGACATACATGCATGCAGAAAACCCACACACATAAAATAAAGTAATAAAATTAGAAATAAAAAAAACCCTTGTTTCTGTGTTTTAAATACAACCTGCAGTCCTATTTTGATTCCAAAGGGGTTTTCTTCCAATTTTCTATCTTTAAAGAGACCTCTATATCCATTAAGTGTCACCTTAAATGCCTTTGTAATGCCATAAGCAGATTATAAGCTTATAGGATAACTCTCCCTTTTCTGACGACTGTATCTAAGAGGTTTTCCCTCTACGAATGAGGTATAGACACTTCATACTTTGCAAAGATTTGGATGTTTCACTAAGAATTTAACAGAAAATATGTTTTGTTATTGTTTTTGGTACTGGGAACAGAGCTGGGACCTCACACATAGTAACCATATGCTCTACCCTCAAACTATATATCTTTAGTTTGCTTTATAAAATAATTTAAAAAAATAGTAATTTATCTATGTGTGTATATGTGTACCTAGAAGGTTCACTCTATGTTTGTTTTTGGTTTTGGATTACATAGTCATGGCTCCTCATGTAAAAGCAAAATGGAGGGGGGGTAAATTTGCCCATGTATGCATGCTTATAGAGCCCAAGGCTGACAACAAGATGCTTCCTCAATTGCCTCTCCACCTGATGTTTTCAGACAAGGTCTCTCCTTGAACCTGAAGTTTGTCACTTCAGCGAGGCTGTGGCCCATGAACTCATGGATCCCAACTCTCTTCCATGGTGCTGAGGTTACAGGCACACACCATCACACATCTGGCTTTCACATGGGTGCTGGAGATTAGAACTCACATTTTCCTTCTCCCAAGCTCTTGACCCACTGATACAACTCCTCAGTCCAAGGAAGACAAGTTTTGAAAGTTTAACACAAAGCCTCACAACTCAGAGACAAACTTCCTAGCATTTTGTTACTTCACTTGTTCTCCTTCTCCATCCTCCCCACATCCCTTAAATATATACTACATATATGGAAATTTTTATATACTCAGATTCTGAGTAGCACTGAACTTGTTTTATTAAATGCATATGTTTCACAGATGTCAAACACTAATATTATTGCTAATCTAAAACACAAGGAGAAGTGCTTTCTATGAAAATAAAACATGTCTCAGCCAGGATTACTAGTTCTAATACTCACGAATTAATAATTACCTGGCTATGATGATGATAATGATGGGTATAATTAGGCTTATAG